GGTACTGAAAGCAATTTACAAATACAATGTAATCCCGATCCAAATACCAACAACATTCTTCAAAGAAATGGAAAAACTAATCATTAACTTTATATGGAAAGGGAAGAAGCCCCAGATAAGTAAAGCACTATTGAAGAAGAAGAAAAAAGTAGGAGGACTCGCACTACCTGACCTCAGAACTACTATACAGCTATGGTAGTCAAAACAGCCTGGTGCTGGTACAACGACAGATATACTGACCCAATGGAACAGAATTGAGAACCCAGATGTAAATCCATCCACCTAAAGTCACCTGATCTTTGACAAGGGCCCAAAGTCCATCAAATGGGGAAAAGACAGTCTTTTTAACAAACAGTGCTGGCAAAACTGGATGTCCATCTGCAAAAAGATAAAATAGGACCCATACATCACACCATATACAAAGACTAGTTCAAAATGGATCAAAGACCTAAATATAATGCCAAAATCTAAAAAGTTCATAGAAGAAAAAATAGGATCAATGCTAGAGACCCGAATACATGGCATTAACAGCATACAAACTATAACCAGCAACACACAACTCCAGAAGAGAAGCTAGATAACTGAGATCTTCTAAAAATTAAACACTTACTCTCATCAAAAGACTTCACCAAAAGAGTAAAAAGAGAACCTACAGACTGGGAATAAATTTTTGGATATTACAAGTCAGACAGAAGGCTAATCTCTGAAAGTCTACCAGAAAATCCAACACCTCTACAACAAAAAGACAAATAATCCAATTAAAAAATAGTCAAAGGAAATAAACAGACACTTCACCAAAGACATTCAAGTGGCCAATAGACACATGAGGAAATGCTCGCGATCACTAGCCATTAGAGAAATGCAAATTAAAACTACAATGAGATATTGTCTCACCCCAGCATTACAGGCACGAATCAAAAAAACTGGAAATAACAAATGCTGGAGAGGCTGTGGGGAGATCTGAACTCTTATGCACTGCTGGTGGGAATTCAAAGTGATACAACCATTTTGGAAAATGATATGGCCCTTCCTTAGAAAGCTAGAAATAGAAATACCATACGACCCAGCAATCCCATTCCTAGGAATATATCCTAGAGAAATAAGGCCATCACACCAATAGACATATGCACACCCATGTTCATCGCAGCATTGTTCACAAAAGCTAAAAGATGGAAACAACCTCCATGCCCATCAACAGATGAATGGATAAACAAACTATACATACACTGTGGTACATAAACACAGTGGAGTATTATGCAACGATAAAGAACAATGATGAATCTGTGAAGCATCTCATAACATTGATGAAACTGGAGGACATTATGCTGAGTGAAATAAGTCAATTGCAAAAGGACAAACATTATATGAGACCTCTACTGTAAAACTCATGAAAAAGTTTACAAACAAAAAGAAACAATCTTTGTTGGTTATGAGGGATAGGAGCAGTGGGGGGGAATACTAACTAGACAATAGATAAGTGGTAACTTTGGTGAAGGGTAAGACAGTACACGATATTGGGGAAGCCAGCACAACTTGTACAAGGAAAGGTCATGGAAGCTCCATAGACACATCCAAACTTCCTGAGGGACCGAACTGCTGGGCGGAAGGCTGTGGAGACCATGGTCTCAGGGAACATCTATCTCAACTGGCATAACACAGTTTATAAAGAAAATGTTCTACATTCTACCTTGGTGAGATAGTGTCTGGGGTCTTAAAAGCGTGTGAGCAGCCATTTAAGATACTCCACTGGTGTCACCCCTTCAGGAGAAAGGGAGAATGAAGAAAACAAGATACAAGGGAAAGACTAGTCCAAAAGACTAATGGACCACAACTACCACGGCCTCTACCAGACTGAGTCCAGTACAATTAGATGGTGCCTGGCTACCACCACTGACTGCTCTCACTAGGATCACAACAGTGGGTCCAGATAGAGCTGGAAAAAATGTAAAAAAAAATTCTAACTCACAAAAAAAGACCAGACTTACTGGCCTGACAGACTGGAGAAACCCTGAGAGTATGGCCCATGGACACTCTTTAGCTTAGTAATGAAGTCACTCCTGAGGTTCACCGTTCAGCCAAAGATTAGACAGCCCCATAAACAAAATGAGACTAATGGGGCACAACAGTCCAGGGACAAGGACTAGAAGGCAGGAGGGGACAGGAAAACTGGTAATAGGGAACCCAAAGTTGAGAAGGGACGGTGTTGACATGTCATGGGGTTGTTAACCATTGTCATAAAACAATATATGTACTATCTGTTTAATGAGAAACTATCTGTTCTGTAAACCTTCATCTAAAGTACAATAAAGAAATCATTTTAAAAAATAAAATAAAATAAAAATAATAAAACAAAAAGTTGGAAGTTCGTGTCCACCCAGAGGTACCTCAGAAGAAAGGTCTGGTGATCTATTTCTGAAAAATAAGCCATGAAAACCTTATGGAGCCTCAGGCTGGATGAACTCCTAAAACCACTGCCCTGAGATAATCTTTAAACCCCAAATTTTAAACCAAAACTATCCCTTGAAATCTTCATTAAGCCAAACAACAGTCTAGTAGGAAAAGAATTTCTGCCTTGAGCATTGTACTCTTTTTAAGAATTATCTAGATGGGATCAAACTGACAACAGAAACTCGAAAGGTTAGATGAAAAGTTAGGGGGCAGTGAGTTTATATTAACGGTAGTGGAATAATCTGGATGGTTGTACAACTTGAAGAATGTAATCAATGTCCCTAAATTGTACATGTAGAAATTGTTACATTGGTGTGTGTTTTGCTGTGTGTATTTTTACCAAAAAAATTAAATTAGAAAACAAACACACAACCTTGTGGAGCACAGTTCTACTGTAATACACATGAAGTCACCATGAGTGGGAACTGACTCCATGAAAACTTGTTACTGGTGTGCTGAACTAAACTAGGTACAGTGAGTAAAAGGACTACGATAAGGTCCCGTTGCTTATGAAACTGACAGCCTGATGCAAGAGACACATAAGCGAACAGAAAATCATTCTACCCTGTGATCAGTACTAGGCTGGCACTAGGTATAGTGTGTTATAGGAACATGTAGGAAGGTCAGTGCCTTAAGTATCTAGTGCTGCTATAACAGAATAACAAAAGTGGGTGGGTTTAACAGAAATTTATTTCCTCACAATTTAGGAGACTACAAGTCTGAATTCAGGGCAGAGGCTCTAGGAAAGGCTTCTCTCTCTGTTGGCTCTGGGGAAGGTCCTGATTCATTGGCTTCTTGGTGATCTTCATGTAGCATGGCATCTATCTGCTCCCATCTCTGCTTGCTCCTCTGTCATAATCTGCTCTTTTTATATTTCAAATGTGATTGACTTAAAACATGCCCTAAACTGATATGGCCTCTTTAAAAACCAATAAAACCCATTCCCAAATGAGATTATAACCTCAGGTATAGGGATTAGGATTCACAACACATATTTTTGAGGGACACAGTTCAGTCTGTAACAGACACCTACTCTAGACCAGGGAGATTAGGAAAGGCTGCATAGAGAAGGTGACCCCTGAGCCAAATTCTCAAGGATGAGCAGGAGTGGGAGCCCTGGTGGCGCAGTGGTTAAGAGCTTGGCTGCTAGCGAAAAGTTTAGCAGTTTGAATCCACCAGCCACTCCTTGGAAACCCTACGCGGCAGTTCTACTCTGTTCTATAGGGTCACTATGAGTCGAAATCAACTCTATGGCAATGATTTTTTTTTTTTTTTTTTTTTAAACGGGAGCAGGAGTGAGCTGGCAGAGAGCTGGGCACGGGAGAGCAAGAGGTGTGGGGGAAGGGCTGTCTATTGCAGGCAGAGAGGACATCATGTTCAAAGGCCTAGATTTAAGAAACAGAGTGGCCTGTGGTTTAAATTCATTATGGGTAAAGTGTCAAAGAAAAGGGGGAAGTGGCCCGGAAGAATGCTACAGTCATACATAGGGCCTTGTCAGGAATTTGGACTTCACCCAAAGGGTTGTAAGCCACGACAGAAGCATAGTAGATTTATGATGTAAAAGAAAAAAAAAAAAAGATGATTGTATGGAAAATGTATCAGAGGGTATGTCATGGATTGAATTGTGTCCCCCCAAAATACCTGTCAACTTGGCTAGGTCATAATTCCCAGTATTGTATGATTGTCTACATTTTGTCATCTGATGTGATATCCCTATGTGTTGTATATTCTATCACTATGATGTAGTAAAACGGATTAGCGGCAGTTACATCGATGAGGTCTATAAGATTAGATAGTATCTTAAGCCAATCTCTCCTGAGATATAAAAGAGAGAAGCAAGCAGAGAGACATGGGGACCTCATACCACCAGGAAAGCAGTGCCGGGAGCAAAGCGTGTCCTTTGGACCTAGTTACTGCAGTGATATGCTCCCAGACCAGGGGAAGACTGATCACAAGGACTTCCTCCGGAGCTGACGGAGAAAGCTTTGCCCTGGAGCCGGTGCCCTGAATTGAGACTTCTAGCCTACTGGACTGAGAATAAACTTCTCTTTGTTGAGGCCATCCACTTGTGGTATTTCTGTTATAGCAGCACTAGATGACTAAGACAGGGTATAAGACTGGAAGAAGGACTACCGGTTTGATGGGATATTGCTGAGTTTATCCAATGTTTGAGCCTCGGTATACATGCTAGATGTGCCTTCCTAACAATAGAGATGACCAGCACTAAACCTGGCTGTCCTGTATGATTCTGTGTGCTCTGCATCCTTTGTGGAGCCCTGGTGGTGGAGTGGTTAAGAGTTCGGCTACTAACCAAAAGGCTGGCAGTTTAAATCCACCACCTGCTCCTTGGAAACTCTACTGGGCAGTTCTACTCTGTCCTATAGGGTCGCTATGAGTCGGAATCGACTCGATGGCAATCAGTTTTCTGGGGGGCATCACTGGTGGTACACAAGCACAAGGCAAGAATACATCTACTCAGTGCTTTACCTCTTTTATCTTTTATTCTTGTGATGCCAACAGGTATTTCTGATTATCACTCTGGTTCCTTTCAGATGATACGTCTAAAATGGTGTTCCTGACCATGACCTTGCACCAAGGTGGAAACACTCGGATGTATGAAATAACAGGTGATGCAAAGCCTGCTCTGCTCAGCACCTTCAGTGGGGACCGCCGCTTCTCTCGATTTGGTGGAGTTCTACACCTGAACGATCTGGATAATGACGGCTTAGGTAGGAAAGCAACAGTGCTTTTAGCCAAGTAGAGTTCCTTTACCCAATGGACCAGTCCCTTAATTAGATCATCTAGGCTCTGCCCTCATAATTGATGGCCCAGTGGCCCAAGGGCCTTTAAGCAGATTTTGAATCTGATAAGACCAGAACTGGATGTACAACAAGAGTGAACATTTGAAGGTGGTAACATTTATTCCCTGTACCTCTATGCCCACCCATCTGTCAGTCTGTCGTACTGTGGTGCCTTGTGTGTTGCTATGATGTTGGAAGTTATGCTACTGGTACTTCAAGTTCTGTGGTGGCCAGGCTTCAGCAGAGCTTCCAGACTAAGACTAGGAAGAAAGGCCTGGTGATATACTTCCAGAAATCAGCCAGTGAAAACCCTGCTCACAACAGAATATTGTCTGATATAGTTGGAAGGTACTTAAAATACACAGTGGCCACAACAATGGAATCAAACATACCAACAATTGTGAAGATGGTGTAGGACCAGGCAACATTTCATTCTGCTACAGTACATGGGGGTCACCATGAGTTGGAGCTGACCTGACAGCAACTAACAATCACAACAGCCTCTATACTCATGGAAACTTTGAGTTGCCCATGTCAGTTGTTATTGATGAATGATGAAATAGTAAACAGAAGTTTTTGACTCTATCAGGGTGAAATCAGTGTAGACTTTTTAAAGAACATGCTGATATTATTTGTGGGAGGTTGGGTTAGAGTCTAGTAGTGGAACAATGGAAAAGATGACCAAAAAAATAATATTAATAACCCATTGTTGTCGAGTTGATTCCAACCCATAGTGACTCTACAGGACAGAGTAGAACTGCCCCACAGGGCTTCCAAGGAGCGGCTGGTGGATTCGAACTGCTGACCTTTTGGTTAGCAGCCAAACTCTTAACTGCTGTGCCACCAGGGCTCCAAAAATGCCAGGGAGGGGTTATTATATGCTTCTTTCTGTTTCTTACTGTTTACAGATGAAATCATCATGGCAGCCCCACTGAGGATAGCAGATGTAACCTCTGGACTGATTGGGGGGGAAGACGGCCGCGTTTATGTATATAATGGCAAACACATCACCCTTGGTGACATGACAGGCAAATGCAAATCATGGATCGCTCCATGTCCAGAGGAAAAGGTAAAGTGTTTTTCTACAAAATTCTGTACCAGATAGGAAAGGACCACTACTCTTTCTGATTCCTTTTTAAATCATGTCCACTGTAAACCTCTTGCACATTTTACCTGAACTCGGGGTCCCTGGGTCGGGACACAATCACTTGCCCTTGTTTTGTAGGCCTGAGCCACCTGTGTTCTTGCAGTTCTGTAGCGTTTGCCCCCACAACTAAAGTACAGTTGGACTTGGCATCATTTGGGTCCCTGGGCGCAGCCTGCCACTGCTTGGTTAGGAGCCTACAGTAGAAGAAAGGAAACAGGCCACAACCATTGGAGTTTCATTAAAACATCTGCTCTTTGTTTCCTGTTTCATGATTTACTTCACTCCTTCTCTCAGGTGGACTCCCTTAAATTTCCTAGACCTACAACACTTAGCCATTATTATTTGGGGGTGGGGTGGGGTGGGGGTGGGCATTACTGTTTCTTAAACTTAAAAATGATTATTTTTTAAATTGCAAAATTAAAGTTTATTGTGAAAATTTTAGAAAATGCATCAAAGTACAAAGAAGAAAATTAAAAATCACCTATCTAGAATCCTCTATGCAGTGATAATGCCTGTTAACATCTTGAAACGTATACTTCTAGCATTTTTTTCTATGAATTTAATTGCTACCATTTATTGTGCATTTGAGGGGCCCTGGTAGCACAGTGGTTAAGCACTTGGCTGCTAACCAAATAGTCAGCTGCTTGAACCCACCAGCCACTCCACAGGAGAAAAGACCTGATAATCTGCTCCTGTAAAGATTACAGCCTAGGAAACCCTTTAGGGTACTTTTACTCTGTCGTATAGGGTCGCTACAAGTCGTAATCAACTCGACAGCACACAACAACATTGTGCTTTACAGTGTGTCTGGCACTCCACCAACCACCTTATATATGTTTAATCTACACATCAAAGCTAATAAATTGGTATTATGCCCATTTACAGCTAGAGATAGAAGATCAGAGAGGTAATTTGTTCAAGGGTACACTGGTCAGAAATGGCAGAACGAGGATTTTAACCACTACACTGTGTGTATGTAGTGTGTATGTATTTTTATTAGCAATTGTGATGATATTTGCATGATTTTGTTCACAACTTTATAACCTGATTTTTTGTTTAACCTAATAACGTATGAAGAACGTTTTTCGAGGTCATCCTAAATTCTTATGCAATACGATATTTACTGCCGACCAAGTATTTTGCCTAGAGATAAACCATGGTTTAACCATTGTTTAAGTGACTGTCATTAGGCCACCTTCCATTTTCACTATTCTAAATAATTACATGGTGAATATTTACATATAAACATTTTAATAAACATCTGATTTCTTTTTTTTCTGAGCTAAATTCCTATAAGTGGCATTTCTGGAGTCAAAGGGCATGCATTTTTTAAGGTTACTTGGGAAGTGCGGAAAAATATACACACTCACTAGTGTAAAGGTGTAATTAAAATTGATTAAAAAAAATAAGAACACTAATAACCTTAATAGTCTCCCTTTCCCCGCCTTTTTTTCTTTCAGGCCCAATATGTATTAACTTCACCTGAAGTAAGTACCTCCTAAAGGATTCAAGAATGAGGAATTATAAAACATGCCTTTTCTCCTTGAGGAATTATAAAACATGCCTTTTCCCCTTGTCATTTGAAACTGATAAACTATTATGGTAAGTTCTCAAAAGACCATTAACAGACAATATGTTTTACAGGCAAGCTCAAGGTTTGGGAGCTCTATGATCACTGTGAGGTCAAAGGAAAAGGTGAGTACAAGCACTGTGTTTCTTTGATATTTATATACGTTCTGAGGCTGGGATATGGTGAAAATCTTACTTTATCTGCTTATATATTAGATATTGTTTTTACCTGGAAAATAGAAACACATACTCATTAGGGATTGACACAATCCCATCTTTTTTTTTTTTGGTGAAAAATTCCCCTCTCTACCCTTCCAATTTCATCCTCTATATGACCACTATGAGTCTGAATTGACTCGATGGCAACAGGTTTGGTTTTTTTTTTGGTTTTATGGCAGGGGTCGGCAAACTACGGCCCGGAGGCCAAACCCAGCTCACTGCCTGTTTTTATTATTGCATTTTTAAATGGTTGAAAAAAACAAGACTATTTCATGACATGTGAAATTTATATGTAGTTCACATGTCAGTGTCCATAAATAAAGTTTTACTGGAACATAGCCATTGCTTATTCATTCATGTACTGTCTATGGCTGCCATCATGGTATAATGGCAGAGTTGATTAGTTGCGTCAGAAACTGTATGTCACACAAAGCCTAAAATATTTATTATTTGACCCTTCACAGAAAAAGTTTGCCAACCCTTGCCCTACAGAATAACTATTGCTAATATTTTGGTGCGTTTTATTCCAGACTTTTCTTTCAGAGTTTTTGTATGGCTATAGATACACACACGTAATTTATTTCTACTTGTCAGTGTTTCATTATAGTCAACTATATTATGCCTCTTTCTAGACAAAGTACGTATAAAGCTACCTGATTCTTTTTAATGGCTGCATAGTATTTTATTTTCTGGATGTACTGTATTTTATTTCATTTATATTCATTCATAGTCTTATAGACATTTAGGGTATTTCCAGGTTTTTTTTTTTTTTTTTACTATTACAGACAATGCTATAGTGAAAGTTCTTGCATTTATATCTTTATATATTTGTGCAAATATCCCTGTAGGTGATATTTCTAGAAGTAGGATTGCTAGATCAAGGATGTGCATATTCTAAATTTTAATAGGTACAGCAGATTAAAGAGTTTTATCTTAAAATATACCTGTAAACCACTAATTCCATTATAAAGTAAATCACAAACCATTCATTTAATAATATTGTATACAGCTGTGCTAGTCTATGAGAGATTTAAAGAAACAGAATATAAAGACCCTGCTCTTGAGGGAAACTAAGATGTATACACAAGGGAAATTCAATAAAATGCAAATCAGTATAGGATTAAATGCTGAAGAGTAGTGTGAAAAGTCTTAACTGTGGTATAAAGGACTGGGGAAGCCTTCATACATTTAGAATATGGTAACCAGGTCTATAGAGGGTCACTGAAAAAGAGAAAGACCCTTAACAAGATGGACTGACACAGTGGCTGCAGCAACAGGCTTAAGCACAGCAAGCATCATGAGGATGGCTCAGGACCGGGCAGTGTTTTGTTCTGTTGTACACAGGGTTGCTATGAGTCAGAACCAACTCCATGTCACCTAACAACAACCAGGTCTATAGGAGTGCAGTGGTGGTTCAGTGGTAAAATTCTTGCCTTCCATGTGGGAGACCTAGGTTTGACTCCCAGCCAATGCACCTCAAGCACATCTACCACCTGTATGTCAGTGGAGGCTTGCGTGTTGCCATGACAGGCTTCAGCAGAGCTTCCAGACTAAGACAGACTAGGAAGAAAGCCCTGGCGATCTACTTCTGAAAACCTTATGGATCAAAGGTCCGATCTCATCGTGCACAGGGTTGCCATGAGTTGGGGGTAGACTTGATGACCGCTAACAACTACCAGGTCTATAAGACTTGTTAAGTGCTATGGGGGGAGCCCTGGTGGAGCGGTGGTTAAGTGCTCGGCTGCTAACTGAAAGGTCAGTGGTTTGAACCCACTAGCTGCACCGTGGGAGAAAGATGTGGCAGTCTGCTTCTGTAAAGATTACAGCATCAACCTGACAGCAATGGGTTTGGTTTTGGTTTTGTAAGCTTCTGTGAATTGTGAAATTGCTCTAGTGGCCAATACTTCAAGTGACTTTTGCTAACCCATTTTACTTACCTGATAGCAAAAAAAATCTATAAGGTCGCTATGAGTCGGAATCAGCTCAGCAGGACACAGCGAGGGTTAATCACCCATAAAAACCCATTGCTTTGGAGTCGATTCCAACTCATAGCGACACTACAGGATAAAGCAGAATGGCTCCATAGGGTTTCTAAGTCTGTAAATCTTTATAGAAGCAGACTGTCACATCTTTATCCTGTGGAGCAGCTGGTGGGTTCCAACTGCTGACCTCTCGGTTAGCAGCTGAGCACTTAAATCACCATACCACCAGGGCTCCCAACAACAAAAAAATGATTATTGTATACACTGTTTTATGCAAATAAGTTTGCGAGCCTTCTAAGTTTGTTTGCCAGCAGAGCCCTCCCCTCCAGGTATTTTCATAAGCATGCTATGCTAATTTTTTTTACAGCAACACGTAAATACCTTGAGGGGAGAGGGCATGGTTGGCAAACAAACTCTTAGAAGGCTGACGTTATTTGAGTAAAAATTCTATAGGCAGATTCTCAAAAGGTATGGCCACAGGAATACTTTATATCATAAGCTTAGCTTGTATTAAAAATTTTGTTCATTTTCCAAAAATTAGACATTATCAAGAATCTATGTATTGTATAAAAAATTACACATATATCAACTATTATCAATGCTAATTGAGAAGAGTAGCAGTATATAACATCTAAACTTTATATGATTTGATTCCCTTCTGTACAACTCTGCAAATGCACCTTCCTAATTATTCACTTGGGCCTGTGTTAAAATTACTTCACTTTCCCCACACGTACCTGAGACTAAGGTACTGCAGCACTAAGTGCAAAGATAAACCAGACTTTAAAAAATGGACAGGGACAGCCTGTGCATAATCAGGGATGGCCTTTTACTGAAACTTGAGTAAATGTTTTCAAAGATTCCTTTTCCTTTCTAGGACATACGAGCATAAAGTAATGAAATTGTTATTAGTGATTCAACTAGATTAGGACTTGGCACTTACTTAAGTGGTGCTGCTCTCTCTCCTGGGGCCGCTTAGAGCCAGCTGTGACCGTGCCAGAGCAGTATCTAGTGAGCGTATGTTATACTGGGCATCAGAGGAGTAGAAACCTGAGATGTGATTCCTGCCCCAGGGGCTTAGAGTCTGTAACTCATGCCCATAGTCAGTATATGATGACCAAGAGCCAAAGAAGACCCGAAGCAACCGCTGTGGAAGTCTATGCTGGTGGTCAGGGAAGGCCTGGGGAGCCCATGGGGGCTTGGGCTGAATCTGGACAGATGAATAGACTGTCGAGGCAGGGAGAGGGCAAGAAGGGAGGATTTGATTTTAGGAATGACTATGGTTTGACCAGGGAATGGAGGAGAGACTAGCTCATGGCCAAACTCCAAGCAGATTTAGTAAATGAATAATTCTGTAAATAAGAGAAGAAATAACTATTTGGCTCATTATATTAAAAAAAATCAAGTTTAGATTTCCTGTGCATTAAAAGAGATGATATAAGCAAAGGGCTATACATAGTGTCTGACACATGGTAAAGGCTCAATAAATGTTAGCCAATATTATTATTTCTCGAGTCCACTGATTCAGAATTAAATCAGTGAGAAACTATTTCCTCAGACGGTTAGTTGCTTCATGGTCATATCCTGCTTCTGACCAAAACACTATCAGCCAGTTTGATTACCCACATTTCATTTGCCAGCTTTGGCTCAGAATAACTTTTGGCAGTTTTCAAAAATCATATCGAACCTCCAGGTCTGAAGATTTGCCATCACTGAAATGTTTAAAACTTGTAGCAGGTTTTGAAGGCAATTCTGAAAGACAGTTCCTAAAATCTTTCAAGTAGCAGGGGCAGAAGGAGGTGGTGTTAAGCACCCTTGAGAAAATCAGCCCCTTGTGGAAGTCCTTATTATTCCAGATATGCTGCCCACGTTGCACCACAACCAGAATACTGGAGTAAGCATATAATGATGTACATTTCCTTTATTGCTTATGTGTCAGAGAAGAGATTAGGGTGAAATTCCTCAGCTGTAGTTTTCTGATCCTACGGATCTGAGAAAGTGGTATTTCAACAAAGGGAAAGAGGCGTTTAAGTTCAAGCCATGGGGTCTATTCAATGTTTTATTCATCTTGTATCTCCAGTGTGTATCATGATGGCTAGACCATAGTAGGAACTTACCAGATGTTACAAATGAATAATGAATTTTGTCTGTATTGTGTTCCCCGACAGAACCAAGTTGTCATTGCAGCTGGAAGAAGTTCGTTGGGAGCCCGACTCTCTGGGGCACTTCACATCTATAACCTTGGCTTACATTAAAGATTTTGCTCTGTTTTCCTAATCTGCCCCTCCCTCTCTGTGCTGAGTCCTTTCCAGGGTAAAAGTTCTGGTGGACAAAGTGCAACACCCAGTAGAGTGATGGTGGATCCAAGTAGAGGTGGGGCTCCTGGGAACAGAGACACAACACTACAGCCAGGTGATCTGGAAATCTGATAAATTATATGGCGACACCAAGAGTATGTGAAAACAGGAGACACTCTGGTGATTCACGTCCCCTTCCAAAACTTGCTACCTTTGCATCTAAACCTTTCTGCTTTCCTCCCCAACTAGCTTGTCTGTGCTCAGACCTGCTGTACAGCCTATTTCTTCTTCCACACAAATACCTGTCCTGTCCTGTCCTTTCAATGCCTGAAAAGGCCTCTCTGGTGATCTCTTAGGAAAGTCTCTGTACACAATTCCTTCTAGAAATGTCCTTCTTTTATTGGTGACCCATCCCAAAGTGTAACAGAAAGCATAATATACAGAAATAACACTAGAGAAGGAGGAGAAACAGTACAGGGAGGAGAATGTACAGATGATAATCTTACAGCTCCAAAATTACTTGTGGATGACTCGTTCTTAAAGAGGGCTATCACATTTTCAAGGTTTTATATAGTGAAGGATAAATACTAAAACTTTATCACGTTTCTCTGCTTTTGCAGAGATGGCTGTTCTAATAGGACATCAACCTAGAATATGGTGGCTTTCCACTAGACTTTCCATACGAACAAGGGCCTCTGTTGTATTAGGCTGCCACAAATTATGCCAGCAGGGGAACTGGAGAAAGGAGAGTGATCTGGTCTGAGCTGAAGGCTACTGACTGGGTAAGGGACCCAGAGGAGCGAAGCAGGCCTTGGCCTACTTGTTCCTGGGCTGCTTTAGTAAGGGGCTCTGATTTGCGAGTCCTGCAGTGTGGCATGTATTTAAGGCAAAGGAATGTTTCAAGTTCACTAATACTTTATCTGTAAACATAGAAAAAGTCTGCATTAATATCTACAGATATTGGGAACAATGAAATGGAAAAATACAGTAACTAGTTGATTTTGTATCTATCAGGGAAGTATTTCTTTCTTCTGACACTCCTGACATGACACTAAAAGCAGGAGAAAATAATAAATGACAAGAGTCCTCCTCTCAGCTTCTCTAGAGGCAGAGGAGGGACTGGTGGAAGGGGACAGGAAGAAGACTCTAGCTGCAGTGCAGAAGTTAAATGAGAGATCAAGGAAAAGCTACTGGGGTTAAAATTCTGAGCATAAAGTGGTTACACAAAGGAAAACAACCTAAATAGGCACACAGCTAGAGAGCACCTCTGGGTCTCTCATGGGACTATCTCATTTTTCTTAAAAGGAGGGTGCATTATGGCACAGCAAAAAGGATACAAAAACACCATTTGGTTTTGTTTGTGTAGCAATTACTGGCAGCTCAACCTATTTGAAGAATTATTTTTAATTAAAAGGAAGTTTATTTCTAGGGGACCAGAAATTACTTAACTGTATTCACTTAAGAGTCGAGATGTGTGAGTGTCAAACAAACTAATGACATTGACATTGCATTTTAATAAAGGTGTTTCTCTCAGATACTAGATCTTTCCATTAGAAGGATGCATACTTTCGTATTGCGTATTTGTTATTATAATTCACCAAGTGACAGGGCCTATGTTTAAACATGATAATTATTTACCTGAGGATTTATGTTTCTCAATGCCTACACATAACAGATAGTAAGTACCAGGTGGAGAAGGTTAAAACCTATACAGCTGAAAGAAAATTTTCAAGTTTATAGGATATTTAACCATAGCAACCCCAGTCAAAAGTGATATAAAACTGTACTACTACTGAAGGTCAACTATATGGCAAATATGTAAAAATGTAGAGAAAAAATTAGTATGTGAAAGTCTAGTGTATTATCCCAATATAGGTGGATTACATTTTCACTCCACTAAGTGTTAACCATAGTTCTAATCATTGATTCCAAAAAGCTTAACAATAATTAAAATGGACTGCCCTTTAGGGTTAGGATTTCTCATTAACACAAAATTGAACTATACCATAGTTCGACTCAAAATTATCTTTATTTCAAGATATCAGAAGACATTTACACATTTGCACTTTTTATCTTTCTACTGTCTGTATAGAGTAGATCAGAATTGTTTTATGCCATTTGTATCAAAGCCCTAAGAGACTAAATGTGATCCAAAGTGAGCTTGGGAACAGAATTCAGGTATCTGGATTCCCTACTCAATGCACCATCCATTAGATGCCCTCTGTAGGTACTACTAAAACAACGAAAATAAACCCTAAGTTCAATATTTTGAATTACTAATCGTAATTCCAGAAAATGAAAACCCAAAACCAAAACTAAACCCATTGCCATCAAGACGATACCGACTCATAGCGACCATATAGGAGAGAGCAGAACTGCCCCATAGGGTTTCCAAGGCCATAATCTTTATGGAAGCAGACTGACACATCTTTCTCCCATGGTGCCGCTGGTGGGTTCAAACAGTCAACCCTTTGGTTAGCAGCTGAGTTCTTAACCACTGCGCCACCAAGGCTCCTTTCAGAAAATGAAACTGCACAATTTTTGGACTAATTCACCAAAAGAAATAGCTTTTTAATATGAAGTTGTTTCGTGGTTACTTATCACAACCTATTTTTACCAAGAGTAAAGCAAGCATTAGTGGCATCCTAAAATGACATCTGTCCTATGACATTTGTCAGAGGCTTTCCAAAGACAAAGATGTCTGTTAAGGTTATCGTACCTTATCCTTATACGTGTTAAACAAAACAAAAAAACACAAACCTGCTGCCGTTGAGTTGATTCCAACTCATAGCGACCCTATAGGACAGAGTAGAACCACCTCATAGAGCTTCCAGGGAGCGCCTGGTGGATTTCAACTGCCTACTTTTTGGTTAGCAGCCATAGCTCTTAACCAGTACGCCACCAGGGTTTCCACACGTTTAACAGGGGATATAACTGCTTGCTAACTCACATGACCAAACATTTGTTCCTATCACCTTACTCTGGAATAGTAGTTAATGTGCTAAGTCTATTTAATTCAAAATTTAAAGCTACTGAACTTTATTTTTCTTTAGGATAGGCTATTTCATTATTTAAGGGACCTTTCACGCAAGAAGCATCTTGCAATTGCCGAGGCAGAGCTAACTGATGTTTGAAATCATACTTGATGTAACCACCTTCAAGAATCTTATAGACTATTAGTAAGTTCCCTTATAGACTTATGAGGTAGTCCTATCATTTTACCTTATACTGATGGGACATGACATTAAAAAAAAAAAAAAAAAATTATTTCACCCAAGCTCAAAAACTAAGTCAGTAAGGAAAAATGACCTAACAAGGAAAAATTACCAAAATTCTATTCTATGCCTGATGTTAGTCAAATCAAATTTTACCCTCTGGGCTGCCAATTTCTTCATATGTCACAAACGAAGTAATATTACCTATCTTACAGTGATAAGACCAAAAACAGCATGAGTGCTTGGAGGTACGTCAAAGAAGAGTGTCCTGTGAAATCGGAGTATTAGCAAAGATATTCACGAAAACTATCAGGTTCATAATGCTAGAGAGTGCTGTACATTCACATTCCAACAAGCACACCATAAAGTGTATTCCAGACACACAGTATAGTGCAAAGTGGGCCACTTGGTGTTCCAAGACAAGCCTAGCCTGTTTTGCACCATTCTATTCCCAGCTTCCCTCTAATGGCTTCTCATAACCACACATAGGGGTGGAGCAAACCTTACTTGTAATGTCAGGTTTTCTCTCAAATCAGCTACTCGAACAGCATTTTTATTTCTTATCACCAAACCCGCCTGGTAAATGGACCCAACTTCCTCATCTGACATCATTTTAGGGTAATCAGGTACTTCTTCAACATCATCAGGCTAGGTCTATTTATTCTTCTATTACCAGTATGTTTGCAGTGCAAGAGCTTCCCTGAATTCTTGGTGACACTCTGGAACTTTGCATGCATGCCACTTTTGCAGGCAAGTTTAACTGTAATGTTGTATTGCATAACTGTACTTCATGTCCAAAAAATTTTTTAAAAGGGAGTATAGCAGCTTTCAGACTCACAAATATTAGCTACTTTTTAATATTCCAAATCTGACTGTGAAAGCTAAAAGTTATCACAATTGTAAAATTTACCTATCCTCTTATTTTAGGAAGCCCATCTGTCAACTCTGAGGTACAAGCATATAGCTTGACTGAGCTACATAAAATTTTCCTTTTTAGGGAGTGGGGTGGCACATCCATATGCTCTAAAAACCATGCAATGAATAGAATGGAAATACTTGCTTTCAACTTTACCTCCAAAGGCTTTAATTATAGCCAAGGAAAGAAAAATAGTTTCAGGGGTTCGGAAGTAAAATCTAGATTAACTGGAATCCATGTAACGCCACTATTAAAATTATTTTTTCCGTTTTATTCACCTTATATAAAAAAGGGGGGGGGCAAATACAAGAAAATATGGTTATGTCAAGGATTGATTTAAAGCACAAACTTCCAGCGTTTGTTTTAAGGTTAATACATACTCTATTAGCTTTCAGTCACCTGAGAGTAAGGAAATTCACATGATCATGATTCACTGTACTAAGAACTAGGACTATCAGCTCTTTTAACTACGGGTTTGTCAAGTTGATAGGCTTCATTCTGCATGAAACTGCACTTTTCTTATTATGTATAAATTAAAGAAAATACATAAAATAGTCTGTTCCTGTGTTAAATCTCTCCATGCCTCACATCATGTCTATAAAAACAGCTTCTTAATTTTGTAGGATATAGAATCTTGGCCTTTTATAAAGCAAGTACTTTGCTTCTTTTCTCAAATTTCTGAAAATGCAATTAAGTTCTAGTGCTATGACTGCCGTAAGATTTTTTACCATCAGACACTGTCATTTTAACATCAGTGGTTATTTTTTTTTCCTCAAGTCTCTGACTCTATAAAATAAAATAATAAAAGAGTATCAAAAGTTTCTTGTGACTCCCATAAAAAATATTCATTCTCGCCTGGGTGTTCCTAACGGTTTGTTAGGATGTTCCTGCTCGACCCAAGTCCATCCGGCCTGAGACTGGTTTTCACTTCCATCCTTCTATCTGCCTGAAGGGTCTTTTTAGGTAAAGAGGTCATCTAAATAAAGCAGGAAAATTAATTTTAGTTTGTGTCTTAAAAGAAAAGCCACTAGTAAATGGATGTTTTATGGAATTACTAAATGAGGAAAGGACTGCACATCATAGATCAATCTCTTAAGCATTTATTCAGTGATGTAATCTACAAGCACAAAGATAAGGAGGTAAGCTATGTGTCTCTTCTTAGTGAAAATAATACAAACGTTTTCAACCCTTCAATTTCAGTTATGACAAAACCTTGTCACAGAATCACTAACATCTGTCTAAATGTATAATGCCTATCAGTGTTCTAAACAAAATAAGTTATATTCCTAACTTACTTATTGTGCCAGGCACTGTGCTAATTTCTTTACACATATTATCTCATTTAATTCTCACAATAACCCTGGGGCAGGTGGTACTGACTTAACTGACAGATGAGGACTGAAGGGGGCTTAGAGAAGTTAAATATCTTGCTCAGGGTCACAAAGACTTTCAGAATTTGAACCTAGACTGTCTGACTCCAGGGCCCATGATCGCAATTCCTCTGCTATATGCTATGAACAATATCTTTCATACCATAGGAGGCAAAGGTGCTTCTAGCTGTCGTCCAAGGAATGAGAGCAAACGCCTCCAGATTAGGCCACTTCCCATAAACATAATTCCTGTAATCAGCCAAAACACTCTATGGTCCTAAAATAGAAAATGTAGTTAATTTCAAGCACAAAAGATTCCTCAGAGATAAAATGTCCTGAATTATTATTACCCCAGAGTTTAAGAGAAACCTTCTGTTACTTGTACACATCTTTCCTATAGAAAGTACAGGTGCCAAGAATCATAAAACGAATCAGGAGGGAAGCATGTTTTGTAAGAGTTGAATATTTTTTTAATCACCTGTAAGTCTACTACCCAGACACAGCTATGTTTATTTTGTGTGTTTCCTTCCAATCTTTGATCACATGCGTACAAATTTTAATAGTCATATCCAGAGGACATATAACTTAATTTTTTTGCTTATAGCCAGCAGTTCCTAAACTTAAGCTGAGGTACCCTGGGACACTGCAGCACCTCAGGATATTTTAAAAAATTTCCAGGGAAACACAGCAACACCTGTGGGACACCATGAGAACTACTACCAAGTTGTTTTGCCCTAACTGCTTCCTAAAAGGAACTCTTATCTCTTTTGGCCTAAGGAGGCTATGAAAAATTAAGACATTAAGGGCATTGTGAACCAAGAAAGTTTAGGAACCTCTGACTTATGGTAAACATCTTTCCTCACGATAATTTTCAAAATTTTAATATTTTGCCGTGCAATGTTTTTAGTTAATGCATTAACTTACAGAATCACAGAATTTAAATTTAACCTTCCACAGGAAAGGAACCTCATCTACAGCTATGCCATTAGGTGGTCTCCAACCTTTGCTTGCTTAGCTCCAGTGATCGAGAGCTGGTCACTTTACCCCAACGTAGCCTGTGACGCAACTGATCAGCTATCACTGTTGGAAACTTCTTTCATATAGTGAGCATAAATCCGCTATAATGTATTAGGAAAAGAAGCGCTAACATGAATTAACTGTTTTTGGATGCTTAACACATTTCCAGTTATCCAAAAAGATGGTCTTTATTAAGTGAAAATTCTGTTTAAATGAGTTTTAGTATGCACAGATCACTGCTGTTCTTCACTGTGGATTGGTCCTGCAGTTCCCTATAAATCAAGTCTGGGGATGCCAAAATGTGATGAACTTGAGGAAAAGGCTCAGTAAGAGGCAAACAGAACTCAAAATTTCATGTGCCATTAAATACACACATGGCGCAATGTGAGACCTCTCAGAGAGGGTTAAGTGTCTGAGTTGGAGATATAAACGCTCCTCTGACTTGGCCATGCCCTGAAGTACGTTCCTTCTCATCTGGTATTAGTTACCTGTTTCAAACTTGTGGTGCCCTTTATCTCGTCTACTGTTCAGTCTAGCAACATCATTTAGAAATAGCTTATCTTTCACAGAACATCGTGATGTGGTACAGGAAAGAAAGCACTAAAATCTGATGGAGACAGGCCAAAAGTACTCAGAAGCCTACATCAAGGGGACATTTTGAGTATCAAAATAAATGACAGTAACAGTAACTCACTGAACAAAATAAGAATCCATGCTGATATAAATGGATAAAGGAATAGGCAGTGAGAAAGAAGGGAAAGCTCTTCTTTACAACACAATGTCAACTAATAAGTGTAGCAAGAATGACAAAATTAGAAAATCATTCAGCAACCATCATAGTATTAACTGATGCAGGCAAGGGCCATCAGTGGATACTAAAACAAATTTAATCATTTAAATAATGCATCCTCACCTCTTCAAGAGAAGATTCCAAATTCATTCCAAAAGCGACTCCCATTAGTCCAAAGAGTGAGAGAGAGAAGGTTCCCATGGTCAACTGCAGGTTCAACCTCATCATCACATTACGGTGGCTGCAGAGAAAAACACCTTACTCTGATCAGAAGGGCCCACTAACTACATCAGCAAATTGACTTGTCTATTAAAGACCACATGGATCACATCCATACCATTAAAAAAATTAAAAAAGGACATACTCCCATGTAGTGGTTACAGATGATAAAGATGGTTTAATTCCTTTCAAAAATCACAGTTCCTTAAAGACTTTATTACTTTATAATTATTATTTTATAAAGAAAATACTTATTGAATGTTTTACATAATGCTTTCTTACCTGTCCAGATTGATGAAAATAATACTTTGTGAATCATCAATCAGTACCCTAAGTTCCCGAGCTGCATTGGAAAGATCGTCAGCTAATCGGTAGTAGTTTTCCAATAACAACTCCATCTCTTCTGCATGGTCAATTCCAGTACTGCTCTTTTCACTTTAATTAAAAGAGGTAACATAATTAGCACGCCTCCAATATGTGCATCATATATTTAGTATCAAAACACTTCCTGAATTAGGATATAGTATTCAGCCACCAGTGAAAACACTAGCCTTTGTTTTTTCTATTGTTGTGACTGAGGCCAATCTGTGAGTGCTCTGTCAACTGATTTCGTAAACACTACACAGATGATCAAGGGCACAGGTTCCATTCCTAAAAAGGCTCTTCCATGGCCCCAATCCAGGAGTCTCATGCAAACACACACTACCAGTTATAGGAAAATCCAGATGTGTGAAAGTCAATGAATTAGTGTAAATCCAAAACCACTATCAGGAAAACCAAAAATTAAAAATGAACATAAAGAACATTTTCTTTCAAGGTAGAAATATGATGTCATTTTCAGATATGAAGAGAAATGTTTTTGAATGATGTCAATACACAGTTATTTTTCTCTGCTATACTTACACCCTACCCCATTGAGAGAGAGGAGAAAGGACAAGAAAGTACTCTGTAAAAGATTTTTATATTACAAAGCATATTTAAGAGACAGACTGGCCTAAACGAAGCAATCAAGGTTACAGTGTATTCATGTTTCTGCTACTAAATCTATCTGCTATAATATCAAAAGTTATATAGCAGTTTTTATCTTATTTTCTTATTAGAATATAGATAGCCAATTTTAAAAAATGCCTAGAAATAAAAGTTCCCATATTCTCTTGTCCAGAAAAATACTATCTTCTCTCCGAAAAATCATCCCAAAGAAGAAGACAGAAAATTTACCCTAAGGAAATAAGTAATAAGTATGGCCATATACTTACAAGACCTGTGGGTCGCTCCATTTTGTGAGACAGAGCTCTTCCAGCATCTCTTCCTCATCCAAGATCTCCAAAATGGACTCTTTGAAAATTTTAATATCTGTTTCTAACTCTGATAAGCTATAAGAGTAGTGGTATAAAAATGACCAGTAGCATAAACTTTTAAAAACATTTCATTATAAGAATAGTGTCTTTTTAAGGTATCTTATCAAGTAAACCAGAGCCCTGGTGGTGTAGTGCTTAAGAGCTTGGCTGCTAACCAAAAAACTGGCAGTTTGAGTCTACCAGCTGCTTCTTGGAAACCCTATGGGGAAGTTCTACTCTGTCCTATGGGGTAGCTATGAGTAGGAATCAACTCAATGGCAACGGTTATCAAGTAGACCATTTATATATTCATGGTAAAAACGGACTTGTTAAAAAAAATTTCAACATTTACCATGCACATTCAGAATAAATCCCCAAACCAAAAGGAAATTAAGCAGTAAGATTAATCAATGATGTAAGTCTCAGCATATACTATTTATCTCAGAAACACACAATCACTGTTAATCTAGGATTTTTAGGTTAGGGAATTTATTTTTATTCTTAATAAACGGCATTGATAATGTAAGCACAGAGTATTCACCCTGAACTGAGGGAAACACTCCAACATTTTTGGATAAGGTATCAATGATTCATGAATCTTAACTCTTAAAAAATTTTTTAAAACCGTTAACTTTAAAAAAAAGATTTCATTTTTTGTTATTGCTGAAAATACACACAGTACACCAACTCAACAATGTCTACACATACAATTCAGTGACACCGATTACGTCCTTCAAGTTGTGCAACCACTCTCACCCTCCTTTTCCAAGTTGTTCCTCCCCCATTAACCTAAACTCACTGTCCCCCTAACTTCCTATCCAACCTTCGAGTTGCTGTTCTCAATTTGATCTCATATAAATAGTTCTTTCAAAAAGCACAATGCTCAAGGCAAACATTCTTTACTAATTAAGCTAAACTACTGCTTGGTTTAAAGATTTCAGGGGATATTTCTGGTTTAAAGTTTTAAAATTAAGGTTTAAGGGCAAAGTTTCAGGAGTAAAGTGTTAACTGTTAAAGAGATTTTAGGGGGTACAAATCTTGAGAGCATGTTTATTAAATTATGATGCAAATTAATTAAAATATTGCTCTTAACTTCTGGAATGCATTATGAGAAAAAAGAACATGGACCCTGGAGGGAGAGAGAACTGGATTTGAATTTAGATCTGCCATTTACTAGCTATGTAAGTTTAGGCAATTTACTTACCCAACTCTCTAAACCTGTTTTCTCCTCTGCAAAATGAGGATGCTATCAACTGCCAAATATTTAAAAGAGCCTCAGAATGTTTTATGTAAAATAACTGCTAAATGAATGTTAGTTTATGTGCCCTTTGTACCTTAAGTTCTCACTTAGGCTACTTTAAAATTTTAACATTAAACCAAATATGGCAATGAAGGCACTGAGAGTAGATCATAAAGTAAAAATCATAAAGTAAAACAGGAGCCCTGGTGGTGTAGTGGTTAAGAGCTCAAGCTGCTAACTAAGAGGTCAGCAGTTCGAACCCACCAGCTGCTCCGTGGAAAACCCTATGTGGCAGTTTTACTCTGTCCTATAGGGTTGCTATGAGTTGGAATCGACTTGCTGGCAAAGGGTTTGTTTTTTGGAGCCCTGGTGGTGCAGTGGTTAAGAGCTCGGCTGCTAACCAAAAAGTCAGCAGTTTGAATCTACCAGCCGCTCCTTGGAAACCCTATGGGGCAGTTCTACTCTGTCCTATAGGGTCGCTATGAGTCAGAATCAACTTGACAGCAACGAGTTTTTTTTTAAGCTAGTATTTTTAAAATAGGTAATACACTAATTTTTTTATCTGAATTTATGCTAAACATTTCATTGTTAGTACTGAGAGAGAAGTTTAAAGATATCTGCCACTACCCAACTAGGTCAATCACCCATATTTACCTTTTGCCATTTTGTAGTAAGACGTGCAGTTTGCTTCTGTCTACGGAAGAATGTTTGGGATCCACTAAAGTTTCCAATGTCTCAAGGATCACTGGCTGCAAAATGCTAAGTTTCCCCTGAAGGGTGTTGATCTAGATAACAACATGACCTTTCATAAGAATTAAAACAATCCTTTTAGAATACTCAGGGTCAATGAATCCTCTGATTACTAACAAAAATCTGTAATAGTTAGAAATGCTGGTGACATTTCACAACACGGTCACCGCCAGAGTGCTTATTCCAGACTATTCCAAAACTAGACCCCCTGGCTTAAAAGATAACGCACATATGTTGTCATATAGGCTCAGGTTTGGTTGACAGGGAATTAACACTCATACATATCTTCCCCGACAGATACTTATTATGAAAAACGGGGGATTGATTAATTTTACGTTTGGTAAACAATACCTATATTCTTTGTAAAAAGAATACAGTTCACAATTTCTATGGATAAAACTCTTTTGAAAACCAAATCATAACTTGGACTTTAAAAAAATAAAACAAATTGGTATAAAATCAATGTGTACGTCTTATTCAAGTTACTACTGACATGGCTGATACTCAGCAGGTATGCACTAGTATAGCTGTACCAGTAGCAGTACTAGTTGTCATTGAGTCGATTCTTATTCACAGCAACCCCATGTATGTGAGAGTAGAACTGTGCTCCATCGGGTTTTCGATGGCAGATTTTTCAGAAGTAGACTGCCAGGCCTTTCTTCTGAGGTACCTTTGGGTGGACCTGAACGTCTAACCTTTCGGTTAGCAGCTCAGTACCTACTATTTGTGCCACCCAGGGACTCCAGTATAACTATACTAGTTGTTAAAATATTCAAATACTTGCAGTTAGCAAACAACAGAATGGTAATGGAATGAAGCAGTGAAATTAATTGATGATATGAATTCTAGCATATCCTGTTTATCTCAGAAATATACAATTACTATAAATCTAAGATGTTTTGTTTGTTTCTGGTTTGGAGATTAAAGTGCAGTCAGGGTGCCTGCTTTAGAAATCCTATTGTTTATTTCAGGTTATCAAGGAATTGCTTCCAGGTTCAAAAGTCCTTGGGGGGTTGGGGAGGGGAAGGCTGGACAGCGAAACTGAACCAGACCTAGTCTTTTAGTATTCAAAATACCAAATCCCCTGCCCAAAAAGGTGGACTCAGGTAGCAGCTGGGGAGGCTGCCATGGGTCATGGACATAGACAAGTGTTTGTGCGGGGTATACCTGTTCATTGTATGTTATGGTCCATCAGGTGGGTTTGAGGAGCTTTCCTTTATCTGAAAACTTAACCCTTGTAGGAGATGGCTGCCCTTGCTTATTGTGTAGTGGTTGTTCAGAAGGAAATCTTCCCGGGACCCCACTTAATGGCAAGAAGAATGTGCACCCCAGCAGATAGCCTATATTCCCTCTATTCTCCCTATGGCCAATTTCTAGGCAGAGGAGACCCATGCCAGCCCAGCCCCTCTCTCTGTAGTTATCTGCTCCCTTATTCAAAGTTTTGCCTAACGGCATGAGCTCCTGGGAGCTTACCCAGTATGACATTAACCATTGTGCACCTTCTTTTCTTTCCCTCTTCTGCTTTTTCTTTGCTTTGCACCTGGGCTCCAATTATCCACCATTGGCTGGTACTAGCTGGTGCCATCACCTAATAACCTGAGCAGGGTATGTTCCCATCTCTTATTCCTCAGTAGAACAAGGCAGACAAAAGAAAAGGGTACTAGGTTACCCAATCTCCACCCACATCACACCCCCTTTACCCTCCTTTCTTTCTCTCCCTCTGGCTACTTCTAGCACCAATTCTTGTATGCAGCCAGCTCCTGACTAATAGGGGGAGGAAAGATTTGTGGAGGCTAGGAAAGCAGTGAACAACCCTTGCTCAGGGCCTGACAGAATCCCCAGACACCAGTGACTACCAATTTAATGGAAGAGTCATTAGAAAAATTGTATGCTTCCCTATGTCAAACCACACTGCAAACAGAAGCATCATTTAGCTGCCTCAAAGGCTCATACAAACAAAGACTGATTTGGAAAGTATTGATTTGATGAATGACTTGTGCTATAATATTTATTATGTGTAAGCAGTTTTATAATATATACACAGTACATTAAAATAAATACACTAAAAAATTTTGATTTATGTATTAATTTATATCATATTTTGGTTGTTACATATTTTCAGTATCATCCATCAATAGTTATTAAAACTGTAAAAACAGTAGTCAACTTGAAATGTGCTTCACTGAATGCCATAAAAGACTATGCACTATACCTGGAGTCCTTCGTTCTACTTGATTGGGTTATAATGTTTAAGAATTAAGTATCGTTTCATTCAAGACCCTTGAAGATGTTTTTACTTGGGGAGAAGATGTGGTCAGGGAAAGTGCCACTGTAACCACACCAACTTGTCTTCCTACTCAATAGCATTTTACAGCCACAACAAACTCAAGAAGCTAAATAAAAAACAAGCTTACCCAATATTGCAGGAGTGCTTCTATAGCTCTAAACTCAAAAGGTAAAGGGTACGTGACAAGCTGACCCTCTCCAGCCAACTGTGAAGGAAGCTCCCGGAACAGCCACTGCTCTAAATTTAAATTACGGTAATCTAATATAAGAAGGCACTCTGGAGCTATCACAGCTTTCAAATACTGTAAAAACAAACAAACAAAGTATCTATATCTATATATACATACACACACCACACATACATACATATGCAAGTTGTAGAATTATGGGAAAAAGGTGATATTCATAAAATAAGGTTTAACAGTTCACCAATTTTAGATTAAGACCAAACCAAATCACTGTAGAAGTCACTGTTCATTTCAAAAACACCAAGGCATGTATTTTTTAAAGAAAGGAAACCTAAAATATCATAACTCTTAAAATCTCTAACTCATTTTCAATAGAATTGGAATTATGTGCAAAAATTAGGTATTTATTACGACTTCCAAGGTAGTCATGAGAAAAACAGGGAACAAAGGGGCATCATAAAGTCTTCTTGAGTCAGGTGTTGGGTAGACTTTCAGAAAAGATGTAGTTTAATCCTAATAAGTTAGGCTCAAATGGGAAAATTTCCTTCTTAAATTATCGCCAAAATCTATTCAGCTAAGTAGAAATTGTATAAGATAAAACACAGCCTTAAATGCTTAGAAGAGTATGAAATTAGAAATTATTTGAAAGAGAAAGATTAGTATCTTTATGGTATTAGAGTAGAGAAGAGAAGCTTGTGGCTACTATATTGGAAATTTTTATGCAGAAAAGTTGGCTTTTTGAAGAAACCAAATCCCATGCCCACTGTATGGGCAATACCATTGAGCCTGTCTTTTCATCTTTAGCCCCCCCAAAAACCTGATGTTCACAGCAACTGAGTCTGGTGTGCTCTGAATAGGCAGGGGAAGATACAGCACATTTTAGGAAGGTTCACCCCAAAATATAAACTTAAATTAAGATTATAAAATTTAAAGGATATTCCAAGCTATTTGATAAACGAGGATATGCTATTAAAGCTAAGATTATACTATAATTAGACAGTAACTGTATATAATTAAAAATGTTATAAAGATTTTTTTTCCTATTATTTCAGAAACTAGAGACTAAGATACTTCAATACTTCAGTATTACTGAAGTAATGAACTAGAGACTAAGATAAGTATTACTGACGTAATGAACAGTGTTACCTGTCCGCTGACTTTTGGCATGAGCACGCATATATAATGCACGTAAGTCCTACTCTTCCTAATAAATTATAAGATATCCTGTTTCATGTAGGTATTTTTATTCCAAAATTACTTTTAACCTAGCTACTCATCAAGGTAGTATGCAATTTTACTAAGACTGTGGTAGAGAAATGTAGATGAAATAAAATAATCTACCTCCATTCTCATGATAATTCTATTGCTTCTGGTTGTGATGCTCATTACATGCTGAAATCGTAAATCTCTGGCTTGAAGACCTAATTCTTGGTATAATTCAATCTTCTTCCTTTCTATAAAAGAAACATTTTCAATAAAGAATAGACTGTAAGAGTTTAGATTTTCAGGTCTGAGCACCCACCAAGTTAATTTTCTATTACAAACTTCAAAACCTAAAATGAGCCTTTTGATACCTTATAATACCCATTTTTATCTCAAACCATACTCAGGCTAAAACTGGTCAAACTCTAATTATTCTCTGCTCCTCTTATCCATACTTCATAAGGTTTCTCTGTACTTAGAAGGCACTTAAGGACGAATATCCTCTGTAACAGTCTCAAAGACATAATTATAAAAACCATAGCTATATAATATTAGAATTCATATTATCAATTTGTAACTCTACAGACCATCTTTCTTGAATATGAATTTTACAACCCATATTTTTCTATTTTTTCTCACTACATCATCTTCAGTATTTTAGATCTGTGAACAAGTTCAATCTTCTCTACTTTTAAACTAATACAAAGTGAGAAAATAAATTCAGCTCCTCATACTAGATTTTCCTACCTGCAATTCAAGAAACTGTACTTGTTAGAGTAGTATCTGTACTTTTAGGGTCAAATCACACCTGTGAAAGAGCTTTAAGTGTCTTTTGAAGAGGATATTGAGCAAAAAAGCAAACTACTCTGCTAGGATCTGAGCAATGGCAGAAGCAGGATCATGGCGTTGAGTGAAGGGGAGAGCTGAAACTTGTTTCTGAAGTCAGACAGCAAAAAAAAGGACTAGTTTCACTTTTAAAAATCACTGTCCATACAGAGCAATCAATGGCAGAGTTCTATTTGACCGCCATCCAGTGTCCCATCCCTCACAATCTTCCGGTCACCCATTGCCAGTGCAATGTCAGTGATGTGATTAAACATGGTACAGAAACAGAATAAATAATACAAGGAAAGGGCGGTGAAAGGGAGACTAACAGGAGAAACAGAAGGAAAAAATGGTGTTTCTCTGTGCTCTAGCTCTAACCAGCCTCTGCTTTCAAAAATATTCATTTAACATCTTGTTAGAGCAAAAGAAGGAGCCCTGGTGGCACATGGTTACGAGCTCAGCTGTTAACCCAAAGATCGGTAGTTCAAACCCACCAGCTGCTTCACATGAGAAAGATGTGGCAGTCAGTCTGCTTTCGTAAAGATTTACAGCCTTAGAAATCCTATGGGGCAATTCTACTCTGTCCTGTTGGGTTGCTACAAGTTGGAAATGACTCGACGGCAGTCGATTTTTGTTTTTCAGAGCAAAAGCGGCTCCTGCCAGTAAAAAACAACTCTGGGAGAATAAGCACAGTCCAAGTATTGCCAGTTTCAATTAGGATAGGTGGACAAATGCTGAAGAAAACAAAAAAAAAACTCCCTCAATATACCCACATACTCACAGAATAGTCTACTTAAAACACTACAACTTCTTGATTTCCATCAGATTCACTCATTCACTGATTTTTTTTTTTTAAAAAAAGCAATTTAGAAAAAAAACATACTCACCAAAAGAAGTGACATTTCCCTCTTTGTCAAATTTTGTCTGAAAAGAGATAATAAACACAAAATATACAATTTATGAATTATGAGTAATATGAAAATATTGAAATGCAGATATAAACCATAAGTACTCTTCTTTAGCTTAAATTCAGTAATGAATCAAGGGCTAAAAAACCCTTTTTCCTTTGTTAAGGACAAATCTGACCTTGGATTAACTTTCTACCTTGGTTTCCCCTAGAAACCTGATAGAGAAGAATCAGTTGTGTTACTGGGCAACAGTGCTTATGGTAAAAATGATGACTAAGTGGTAGGCTGCATTGGACAGGGAAGGCTATGAATTCATTACATAGCTTCAACCTTCCTTGAGTGTGGTGGCTCTTTTAACAGCCCATGTTCCTGTACCTCTGAGATGGATACAAGAGATATTGGCACTATGAGGCATGGGGGATCTCCCACTCACTTCAGCGGATCTTGTCTCCTTGCATGTGAGCTGTCACTTGGGGGGCCAGAGAAGTCCCCGGACTAGGGCAAGGGCTTCTTCGGAAAAGGAAACCCCTGATACCGCCCTGTTGAGCTTCCTATCTTTGACCCTTCTGAGTAGACTAGGGCCAAGTATGGCCTCTCCTGTGACTCTAAATGTCTAGTTGAGGCTAAGAAGTCTCTGTGGTATGTGTTGCAGAATCAGTATTTACGGAAGAGGCCTCTTCTGACAGTTTTGAGAGGACACAATGCAGAAAATGCACCTATTTCAAGTAAAGTAGAAGGAACAGATTTCTGTAATGCTTGCCCACAGTCAAGCTGGAAATTGTCAAGTAATATTTAATGAATCACTATGTACTGGCCTGTATTAATTACTAATATGCATTTTGAGAAAAACACACTTTAAGATAGTTGTAGGTAGAATATAAATCCTGGGTTACTACCATGGAAACATATGCAGCCCATAAAAACCCACTATATATTAGCTTGCTTCCCATGTAGATAAGAGCAATAGGAATACATAATGAGAACCATAAAACATTAGCATTAAAGGGAAATTTATACAAAAGGATGCTTTACATTTTGTGTAATAAGGACTAACTTTTCTCCTTAAATTTATTTCACAAATATATTTATCTGCTCCAGAAAATCTGAACAGAGATAAGTAAAATAAAACTATTTCAATTACTTGAAACGACAAATCTTAGAGAAAACCCAGAAGGTCGGCAGTTCGAATCCACCAGCCTGTGGAAACCCTACGGGGCAGTTCTACTCTGTCTTAGAGTCAGAATTGGTTCAACAGCAACAAGATTCCCAATTCACAGATGAGAAAACTAAGGCACAAATATGTTAACATAACTTATCCAAGTCCATCCAGTTTTATAGAATGTCCTTCCAGACTTTCCCCTAAGAAAACATATTCATGTTACATACAATTCTTTTTGGTCTCTCCCTCACTTGCAACTTAACTTATGCTAAATGTTTTTACATCTCAATATTCATCTGTAACATTTTTTTCTTTAATGGGATTTTTTTTCCTAACATTAAAAAAAAATGAAGTCAATAAGCCCTTATTTTCTAAAACGTTTACTTTGTAACCAGCTCACTTTCTAAACTCTCTTCTTATTTCTAATAGTATCAATTGATTCTTAAGTGTTCTTAGGAGACAATTATTTCACCTGCAAAGAACTTTATTTCAATATTTATCACCTGATTTTGTATTCTTGTTTAATTAACAGGCTAGCTCTTCCAGGACAACAGTAAATAACAGTGATAACTTTTATATGTAATTCTAGGGATTGTCTTGTCCTGTATAGCTCATAAAGAAAAGTTCCTATGATAATAAACTGAAATGATATTAATAACACCTAATATATACTGAACACTTACTATGTGCCAAGCACCATTCTAAGTTTTACATATATGAGCTAATTTAATCTTCATAATAATTCTATGAGTTAGGTACTATTATCCCCAATTTGGAGCCCTGGTGGTGGCGCAGTGGTTAAGCATTTGGCTGCTAACCGAAAGGTTGGCAGTTCGAATCCAACAGCCTATGGAAACCCTATGGGGCAGTTCTACTCTTTGTCTTATACGGTCACTATGAGTCGGAATCGACTCAACAGCAACAAGATTCCCAATTTAAAGATGAGAAAACTAAGGCACAAATATATTAACATAACTTGTCCAAGTCCATCCAGTTGATAGCAAGAGGCAGAGCTGAGATCTGAATTTAAGACATCTGGCTCAGAGGATGCATACTTTTTTTGTTTTAATCAAAGTTTTTTAAAAATTGAAATCCTACAAAAAGGCTGCAACACTACAATAAAACTTTCACCTAGAGACAGCCTTTGTTAACATTTTGCCCCAATGGTCTTATTTCTCTCTAAATATATACACATATGTGTATTACATGATACTGTTATTTTTATTTTTCTGAGCCATTTCAAGGAAACTTGTAGACATTGTGACCCTTCAAAGCATGCACTCTGAAATACTACACTGTGCTCCCTCTAAGATAGGTCTGCATATTATCTTGCGCAGCACGAATTCAAGCCCCTCTAAGGCTAATAGCCTTCAAGGACTTCTAAACAGATTCACGGGCAAATCGTGAGTGCTCAAGTATGAAGCACAAAACCGTGACTGGAATGATCTACTCCAGCATTAAAAGAAGAGCTCCACAGCTGTTAATGAAGTTTCAAAGGTCTGTTAGGTAAAACTAGCTGGTGCTCAGGACACTGGCTAAGCACAACACAAAGACATGACTTACAAGTAAGATTCACTATAAAACACAAAACAAGTAATATCTTGGTCAAAAGTCCAACTTGGATAACTTAAGAAGTATGATAAGTACTTTCTATTAAGTCTGCAAATGTAGTACGCACACTTACCACAGTAAACACTGGGGCTACACTGGCTAAAGTGGCTTGAGCAACATCGGATGTTCTAAACCGGTGCACTTCACCTGAATAAATTAGAGAATAAATTTAAGAATTGACTAAGGACACAGTTCAAAATACTACACATAAGGAAAATGCAGAAGGTGTAAAAATATCATCAATTATTTTATGACTCTAATGTAATTATACTGACTTCAGAAAATTGCAGATATATTCTCATTTCTGATATTATTCAACTACGTACATGAAGGTTGTTTTCTTTCTACAAACTACAAATTATGTTATAAAGGCCAGATGGTTAAAGGTGAAAAGCAGACCAATAAATCAGCATCTGCTAATAAGTCACAAGTTTGGTAAGTGTCACTGGATTGAGATTCTGAATCTCGATGCTGTCCTAAACAGTTGCCCCAGTAGATGGTCTGAACCTGGGCTCCCAAGTATTATCAAAGGAAAGAACACGGGACGTAACTCAACTTGGAAAGATTCTCCAAAGTGTGAAGAGAGAAGTAGGAAGCTTCTTGAGAGCACAGTTGAGAAAGTGTACCTGAGGACACTGCTGTATTTTTGAGAAAGGCATACCTTTTGCTTCTGAGCAATATTTGCCCCCACTCTCACAGTTGTGAAGATGTTAACGTATCCACGATTCATCATTAGGTAAAAAAATTAACTCACATACTCAAGTTATGGTTATTTGGTTATACAGCATTTAAAAATAATCAGATCTTTCTCAGAAGCAACCATGCAAAGTTCTTTAGCTTCACTTACAGGTGCGTTCCCATGCCCACTCCCAATTCCTGCCCAAATGAACAACTGTGTAAGCGCGACTATAAGAAAGAGCTAAAAGAAAGGAAGAGAAATTAACACTTGTAAAAAAAAAAAAAAAAAAAAATCCAGGTAGACAAATTCAATCTTAGCCTTAGAATTATCATGATGAGTAAGGTGAAATCAAATCCTTCACAAGAGCACTGAAACCGGGTGATAAGCAAGGTACAGTGCGAAAGCGGTATGCAACCGGTATGCAAACCACACCGCAGAAGACAAGGATCTGTACGATTTCTATTATCGTCACAAGATTTGCAGCAGGGGGCGGAAGGGGAGCGGACATGGAGCCGGGCCGGACGGTCAGTGCAGTAACCTAAAGCCACTCCAAGCCTGCGTCCCAAGGCGGCGGGGAGGGGCGGTACCTGCAACTCGGAGCCGGCGGGGCCCGCACAGCGGCGCGGCCCGGCTCCTTCCGAGCAGTTCGGCAGCGCGGCCGCAAGCAACAACGGGGTGAGCCACAGGGGTCGAGCACAAGGCCAGAGCACACAGGGTCCGGCGGCGCAGCCCCACTGCGCGAGGCAGGAGCAGGGTTAGGCTCCGCAGACATTCCATGGCGCTGGAGCGAAGAGGAGACAGCAGCCAGACCCCAAGCCTTCATGCCTCACCGTGGCTCTCGGCCGGCACCCGCGAGCGCCGAAGCCGCGGCCGCCGCGTACCCGGCATGCGCGGGGAGCGTCTGTCCTGCGTGTTCTCCCCGCGCATGCTCGGAAGCTGCCTGTGTGAACGCGTTTCTTTGGTTCCGTGGCCAATAGGCGTTTGTGTCCTGAGCGTGTACCTGCATTTGTTAAGAAGTGGAGGTGGGACAAGTTTACCTGAGCAAGGCCAGCTGTGGAACTCAGGTTCTTGGGCTCTAGGAGAGGTTAGGCCGGTAGTGTAAAGCATCAGTTACTTCTGTTAACTTTTCTAGTTGCCGTCAAGTCGATTCCCACTCAGGACGACCCCATGTAATCGCTAAATGTGAAAAAATACCCAACATGTGTATAATGCTTTGCAGTTTCTGGAGTATTTTCATACGTATGATGGCATTTACAATTTGGAAGTGAGGAAGTTACAACCATTCCCAACTCATTTGATTTATATTTAAGTTGAACTTAGCAAAAATAACTGTTATATAGAATGATGCCGTATTAAACTTTTGATAGTGAGGAATGTGGAACGTACACAAACAGGAGTTAATCAAATCTAAGATGACATCAATTTCAAGGTATTATTTTATATAAGGAAAGCCCTGGTGGCACACTGGTTAAGCGCTGGGCTGCTAACCTAAAGGTCGGCCCACCAGCCCCTGGGGGAGAAAGATGTGGCAGTCTGCTTCCCTAAGAAACCCTATGCCTTAGAAACCCTGCTGGGCAGTTCTTCTCTGCCCGATTGGGTCACTGTGAGTCAGAATCAACTCACTGGCAACAGTTTTTTTTTAAACGGGTATTATTTTATGTACTACCAGGAAAGAAAAAACGCTGATAAATTATGCTTTCTAATCATATCAATTGTATCTCAATTTCAGTCATTAGAATATTTTAAAAAGTAAGTCTCAGAATTGATCATATACGATACGTACACATATTTTTTCAATTGTCCTTCCAAAGCAGTAATGCTAAGCAGACACGAGTTTCACAGATTTTTAATCAGTCACTATGTGTGAACATTGAGTAAAGGAAACACCGGAGAGAGCTGTCTATTCTGCAGAGTATTGGAGTTCAGGGTGGAGTAGGAGGGAAGCACACAGAAGACTTCACAGAAGAGGGAATGTTTGACTTGGGCATTGAGAGCAAAGGAGAACTTCAAGTACTGCTTCTAGTTTGAAGTTTGGAAGGAGTTGGTATAGAGAACATGACTGGTAGATTATTCATTTTTCTAAAGTCTTTAATGATGAAATGAATTTTTCAAAAACATTGCATTCCCTCAAAGACATTTCTTTGAGAAAATGTGTGCTAACTCTTTTCCTAAACTTTGCTGTCAGGACAGGGAGATGACTCTGTCTAAGATGACCCTTGCATAGCCTTAGAAAACCTCCAGGACCTAGACTGACACGTGGCTTTATAATTCATGGAAAACATTTGCATTTTAATCTGAAAAGAGTGGAAGCCACTGGGGGACTTTCAACTGAGAGGTGAAGATCTGATTTATCTTTAAATGCATCAACCTGAGAAGGGAAACCCTGGTAGCATAGTGGTTAAGAGCTATGGCTGCTAACCAAAAGACTGGATATTTGAATCCACCAGGCGCTCCTTGGAAATTATGGGGCAGTTCTACTCTGTCCTATAGGGTTGCTGTGAGTCAGAATTGACTTGGTGGCAACTGGTTTGGTTTTTGAGTAGGGAAGAGATTGTAGAGAGGCAAGGGTGGAAGCAGAATGGTGATGGTGCCTTGGGCTAATGTGGAGGTGGTGAAGGGGAAAAAGAGATGGCCTTGAGGCTGTTTATTTGAAGGTGCAGTTAATAAGATTTGCAGATAGGATTTAAGAGAAGAGAGGCATAGAAGTTGACTCCAAATTCTTGGCCTAAACAACTGGGTAATGGTGGTGCCATTTACTGAGATGGAATTTTGGAGAGGAGCATGGTGTTTAGTTTTAGACATATTAAATGTGAAGATTTACTAGACACTTAAGTATGTTGTTGTTGGGTGCCGTGGAGTTGATTTTGACTCATAGTGACTCCATGTGACAGAGTAGAACTGCCCGCATAGGGTTTTCCTGGCAGTAATCTTATGGAAGCCAATTGAGGTCATTCTCCCATGGAGACTCTGGGTGAGTTCGAACCACCAACCTTTTGGTTAGCAGCCGAGTGCTTTACTGTTTGTGCCACCAGAGCTCCTAGACATTCAAGTATAGATGTCAAGTAATCAGTCTGAAGTTCAGGGGAGACATCAGAGCTGAATATGTGGGACTACATGAAAGTATTTAAAGCCATATGACTGGACAAGATCTTCTAGGAAGTGAGTTAGACAGCAGTGGGTTTAAGCTTGAGCTCTAGGTGCTCTGACATTTAATGGTCAGAAAGAGAAGATGGATCCAACAGAAGACTATGAGAAGGAGTGGCCAGGAAAAAAAAAAAGTTGCCATCCAGTCAATTCTGACTCATGGCAACCCTGTGTGTTTCAGAATAGAACTGTGCTCCACAGGGCTTTCAATGACTGATTTTTCAGAAGTAGATCACTAGGACTTTCTTCTGAGGCGCCTCTGGGTGGGCTCAAACTTACAGCCTTTCAGTCTGCAGCTAAGTGCATTAACCTTTTGCACCACCCAGGGACTCAGTAGCTAGGAAGGAGGAGTAAAATTGAAAGAGAGTAGGGTCCTAGAAGCCAAGTGAAGAAAGTATTTCAAGAATGAGGAAGTTGTCAGTTATGTCAAATGCTACTGATAGGTACAGCGTCTGATAAGTAAGACGAGAAATGAGAATTACCTGTATTGGAGGTGGCACTGTGGAATTTACTGGTAATCTTGATAAAAGCAGTTTCAGTAGGGTGGTAGGGAATGGGACCTGGATTGCTGTCTTCCTTCTCATCCCAAGCCATGACATGATCCCAGAAGATTTCTGCACATACGTAACAATTTAGCTTTAAAATTTCTTAATCTCTTTTCTTACATCATTAGCTCCATGGCATGAAGATTACTTAACCGCAGGCTCACACCCCAGATTGTTTCACTTCAGAAATTTTATAACAATAACCCACTCTCTGACCATAGCCTCCTTGAGGCTTCCCACTCACAACTATTATTTTCTCCCATCAGACCTTACCTGTCTACTCCTCCTTCTCTACCCACTCAGGATTATGTAACTGATCATCTGAAACCACTTGGAACATGCAGGACTCGTGGTGTGTAATCATAGAAGCCACTTTATTTTTATCCCTCACAGTCCCTTTGATCTTGCTTAGTGGGGCTAATCCTTCCCCTGCCCCCTGGTGAAAACCTGGGCAGCTTCCATAACTTTCTGGGTCTCTCGGTCCTACATTCACTTTACGTCTCAATTCAGTGATTTAAAATGTCCAGTGTCTATATTTTGGAGCTATGGTAAGCTCAGCTGCTAACCAAAAGGTTGGCAGTTTGAATCCACCAGCTGCTCCTTGGAAACCATATGGGGCAGTTCTACTCTGTCCTATAGGGTTGCTATGAATCAGAGTTGACTCGATGGCAACGGGTTTGGGTTTTTATTTTTTTGGTTTAGTCTGTGTAATAATTTCAACTCACTAATTTGCAACGTCAAACATAATATACTAATCAACACTTCAATCTTCATTCAAAGGAAAGGCTTGTCCCCTCTATCCTTGTAAGCCTGGAAGCAAATGGGAATTTTTGGAGCAGGTAGGGGTTCAGGCTAGGCCCCCCGACTCGTCTCCCCTCTAACTTTCTGATTCTGTGCCTGCTGTTTCTGACTCTGCTGGGATAGTTGTCATTTCAATTCCAATTCATAGTGATCCTATAGGACAGAGTAGAACTGCTCCACAGGGTTTCCAAGGCTGTAATCTTTACTGGAGCAGATCACCAGGTCTTTTCTCCCTCAGAGCGGCTGATGAGTCCCAACTTCTGATCTTTCAGCTAGCAGCTGAGTGCTTTAACCATTGTGCTACCAGGACTCCTGCTAGAGCAGTAAGGACAAGTAACATGAACAGAAAGTTTTTATTGGAAGATGGATCATGCTCTGTAGGAGGGGCAGACGTTTAAAGCTGGCTCTTTGTTGTGGTCATGTTCACTTCTTCTCTGGAGGACCTCCCCACCCCATGTGGTCGCTGTTCCCTCGATGTGGGCAGTGTCCCTCTTTCAGCCATTTCTGATCACTCTCAGCTTCTGTCCCTTTTTGCCTTTAATATCCAGGTCCCTCTCTTCTTGACAAGCTGCCCCTTTGCACAGGATCCTCTTTCAAATAACCCCTGGCTGATGTTCCTATTGTCACATCTGGACCCCAGGATTTGTGCACCTTTGATCGACTGCTGGAGGGGAGTAAGTTACTTCAGAACAGACAGAGCTGTTACCGCTTGCTCAGATGTGAATCTGTGCCCACTTGAAGCTCTTGGAGTGGTCTTAAGAAGCTCCTCTCACAGACTTGAGGGGAGTGGGCAGGCACTCCCCTAGCTCCTTCCTCTTGATTGTTGTGGTGGGGGTAGGACTCACACAGCATAGCTTTTCCCAAATCTTCCATACACAGTCTGCCCCAGGTCTTCAGTCTTTTGACCCTTTTCTATCTTCCATTTGATTGAGAGACCCAGGAGTTGTGTAATGAATTCTTGGGTTATTTCCTTTGGAATTTGCACCTAGTGATCTGTTTGACAACTGATGTTGGTGGCTGACATCATATTTGGTGCCTTATAGGAAGCACCTACATTTCTCAGCACCTTGGATTCTTCAGTACTTCGTTTACTCATTTATTAACGCAGTCATTTGTTTCACAGATATTTTTATCGAGCATCAATTATGTGCCAACCATTATTCTAGGTACTAGGGATAAAGGAGTGAATGAAATAGACAAAGTTCCATCTGCAGTAGGTTAACTCTCGCTGCTGTCGAGTTGATTCCAACTCACAGAGACCCTAAAGGACAGAGCAGAATTGCCTCATGGGGTTTCCAAGTCTGTAAATCTTTACAGAAGCAGACTGCCACATGTTTCTCCGATGGAGAGGC